CATTGATACCATTGGGCTGCAGGGTTCCCAAGCGGCATATGAGTTGCTGTTCCTGCAACCTTCGGGTGGCATCGTTGTGGCACTGCAGGAGGCCCAGGATGGACATGTCGTCTGAGGAATGGGAGGGGGAGTTGAAATGGTTCGCGACTGGGAGGTGCAGTTGTTTATTGCGCACTGAGTGTAGGTGTTCTGCAAAGCGGTCCCCGAGCCTCCGCTTGGTTTCCCCGATGTAGAGGAAGCCACACCGGGTACAGCGGATGCAGTATACCACATTGGCAGATGTGCAGGTGAACATCTGCTTGATGTGGAAAGTCTTCTTGGGGCCTGGGATGGGGGTGAGGGAGGAGGTATGGGGGCAGGTGTAGCACTTCCTGCAGTTGCAGGGAAAAGTGCCGGGTGTGGTGGGGCTGGAGGGGAGTGTGGAGCGGACAAGGGAGTCACGGAGAGAGTGGTCCCTCCGGAAAGCAGATAAGGGTGGGGAGGGAAAGATGTCTTTGGTGGTGGGGTCGGATTGCAGAAGGCGGAAGTGTCGGACGATGTTCTGTTAATGTTCTGTTTCTGATTATTCAAATTGTTGCCTATAAGTCCTTTCTTTAAATTCATTCATGGGATGTGGGCATCATTGGCTGGCCAGCATTTATTACCTGTCCCCAGTTGAAGGTCATGGTGAGCAGCCTTCTTAAAATGTGACAGTTCATGTGCAGTCAGTAGACCCACTATGCCCTAATGGATGGAATTCCAGGATTTTAACCCATCCACAGTGAAGGAGTAATGATATATTTTCAAGTTAGGAGTGTGAATGGCTTTAAGGAGAACATCAACTGGCAGTGTTCCCATGTATCTGCTGCCTTTATCTTTCTAGATGGAAATGGTTCAGAAGGTGCTGTCTAAGGATCTCTGAAGAATTTCTCCAGTTCGTCTTCTTGTTACTGAGAATCAGTGGTGGAGGAAATCAACATTTGTAGATGTGGTGACAATCAAGCATGCTGCTTTGTCCTGGATGATGCCAGACTTCTTGAGTGTTGTTGGAGCCGCTCTCCCATCCAGGGCATGTGGGAAGTTTTTCATTGCACTCCTGACTTGTGCATTGTAGATGATGGACAGGCTTTGGAGAGTTACTGGTTGCAATATTCCTAACCCCTGACCTGATCATGTAGCCACTGTATTGAGATGACGATTCCAGTTGAGTTTCTGGTCAATGGTAACTCCCAGGAGAGTGGCATTGAGAGATTCAGTGATGGTAACATTGAATGTCAAGGGGCAGTGGTTAGATTGTCTCTTATAGGAGATGGTCATAATCTGGCATTTGTGTGATGCGACTGTCCTAGCCACTTTTCAGCCCAAGCCTGGATATTGTCCAGATGTTGTGCGTTTGAACAAGGACTGCTTCAGTATCTGAGGAGTCTGAATGGTGCTGACATTGTGCAATCATCAGTGAACATCTGATCCACTTCTGACCGTATGTGTTCTTGGATCCCCAAGTCTTTGTGGATCCCCACATGTAGAATCCCTACTACAGTGTGGAAAGAGGCATTCGGCCCACTGACCCATATGCATGGACCTTGAAGGGCATCCCACCCAGACCCCAACCTATCCCCAGAAACCTGCATTTTACTATTGCTGATCCACCTAGCCTGTATATCTTTGGACTACGGGAGGAAACCGATAGAAACCCACACAGACACGGGGAGAACATGCAAACTCCACACGGGAAGTCAGCCAAGGCTGGAATCGAACTGAATACTGGTGCTGTGGGGCAGCAATGCTAACCAGCGAGCAACCTTGTCCGATGGTGGAGAGAAGGTCATTGACGAAGCAGCTAAAATGGTTGGGCTTAGGACACTGTCGTGGGGAACTCCTGCAGAGACGTCCCTGGAGCTCGGTGTTTCTCACATCAGATTCTTTCAGTTCCGAAGACTTCAATTTACAAATCCCAGTTTCCCCAAACTTGACGCTGAATTTCCTTTCTTACTACATTGTGTTATTCCCTCCAATAATCTCTGCTTGGATCAACCCTTAAATTATTTGTGCATTGTTTCATCACATTCCCCAAATGTTTGCTGCGTCCCCACAGGGTTTTATCTATTTAAAGCCAGAATCAGAAAGCTCCTTTTCTCCTAGTTGGATACGAATCGGGTTTCCAAATAGGGCAGAGTTTCAGCCAATGGAGCGAGATCCAGGCATAGGCCCGCCCCCAGTTCATCCCGATTGGTTAGAGGACGAGTTGCTCTCTTCAGATTGGGCGAGAGACGCTGTAAATCAGCCAGGGGCTGCGGTGAACTCGAGTATGCGCATTGGGCGTGTTGGCCTTAGAGTATGAAATGCGCTGCATCTCCAGAATGGCAAGCTTTGAAGGATTTCCCAGGCAGTCCTGAAGAAGGGTCACTGCAATCGAAACGTTAACGCTGTTTTCTCTTCCCAGACGCTGAATTTCTCCAGCAATTTCTGTCCGCCACAGAATCTCCAGTATCTGCATTTCTTTGTTTTATTTTGCCAGGCAGCGGGGACAGGGGGAATGGAACCCATCCTGGGGCAGCGACTGGAGGACAGTTCTCATCTGAGGGAGAGGGTCAGTCAATAAGAAGCTCCACTTTGGGTTGGGTGAGGGTATCAATGAAGCTCTGGTCAGGAAGGAAACCCTGAAAAGGTGAGGAAGATTCCCAAAGTCTTTTGGGAATGAGGCACGTTGATTTGATTCTCAATCTGTAGACAGGAGCTGGAGAACTGAAGCCAGGGAGAGGAAAGGGATGGAGGAAACTGGGAATGGATGGAAGAAGTGGGAGTCATAGAGTCATACAGCACGGAAATATACTCTTCGGCCCAAATCGTCCATGCCGACCTGGTTCCCTAAGCTGAACTAGTCCCATTTGTCTATGTTTGGCTCATATCCCTCAAAACCTTTCCTATCCATGTACCTTTCCAAATGTCTTTTAAATGTTGTAATTGTACTCGCCTCTACCACTTCGTTTGGCAGCTCATTCCATACATGCACCACCCTCTATGTGAAAACGTTGACACTCAGGTCCCTTTTAAATCTTTCCCCTCTCACCTTAAACCTATGCCCTCTAGTTTTGGACTCCCCTACATTGGGGAAAAGATCTTGGCTATTCACCTTATCTATGACCCCCCACCTCCCCCCTCCATGATTTTTTTTTTAGAGATGGGTTTAAATTCCACTAGGGGTGGGGGCAACGGCAATGCTGATCTGGGAATTTACAGTCTTGGGGGAACAGGAGAAAAATTGCTTCATTGAAAAGGGAATTGTTTCTTCTGAATTTCTATCTTGTACTGACAGTGATAACTTTTGTAAATTCCTTTTCCAGGATATTGGGAAGGATTCACAGATGAGAAACCCAAACTTTGCATTAAATTTTAACAGTCATTTGATTCATCTGGACTGGAACATCATCGGTCTTTGAATGGGGAATGAGAAATGTTTGATCTGTCTGCAGGAGAATGATTCAAGTGTCAGTATGACTGGGAAGATGTCAAGATGCACACAACCGGAGAGTGTTCCACTGTTAGCACTGATTGTGGATAGATCTTGAACCACTTACACAGCTTGAAATAAATATCTCAGCATTCACAGGAGGAAGAGACACCCCACGAGTTGTGTGCATGGTCAAATCTTCTTCCAAGCAGAAGAAACACCTAAACACTGGCACCATGGAGAAACCATGGAAATGTGAGGACTGTGGGAAAGGATTTACTTATTCCTGCCGGCTGGAAAGCCATCGACGCAGTCACACTGGGGAGAAGCCATTTGTTTGTTCTGTATGTGGGAAGGGATTCACTCAGACAACTTCTCTGATGTCACACCAGAGGGTTCACACTGAGGAGAGGCCTTTCAACTGCATTTACTGTGGAAAGAAATTCAACAACTCATCCACCCTCACCGCACACCAGCGAATTCACACTGGTGAGAAGCCATTCACCTGCCCCGTGTGCAGGAAAGGATTCACTCAGTCATTCGATCTGGTCAGGCACCAGCGGGTTCACACAGGGGAGAAGCCATTCACCTGCCCCGTGTGTGGGAAGGGATTTGCTCGGTTATTCGGCCTGCAGTCACACCACCGAGTTCACACTGAGGAGAATCCATTCAGCTGCACTTCCTGTGGAAAAAGTTTCAGACATTCTTCTACCCTTGCCGCACATCAACGCACTCATACTGGGGAAAGGCCATTCACCTGCCCCACATGTGGGAAGAAATTTGCTCAGTCATTCGATCTGGTGAGGCACCAGCAAATTCACACGGGGGAGAGACCATTCACCTGCCCTATGTGTGGAAGGGGATTCACTCGCTTATTCAGCCTCCAGTCACACCAGCGAATACACACCGAGGAGAATCCATTCAGCTGCAACTCCTGTGGAAAGAAATTTAAGCATTCATCCAGCCTCGCTGCACACCAGAGAATTCACACCGGGGAGAGGCCGTTCAGCTGCACTGAGTGTGGGAAAAGCTTCAGCAGTTCATCCAAGCTCACTATACACCAGAGGATTCACACCGGGGAGAGGCCGTTCACCTGCACCATGTGTGCAAAGAAATTTGCTCAGTCATTTGACCTGGTCAGGCACCAGCGGGTTCACACTGGAGAGAAACCATTCACCTGCCCCGTGTGTGGAAAGGGATTTGCTCGGTTATTCGGCCTCCAATCACACCACCGAGTTCATACTAAGGTGAAACCGTTCAGCTGCACTTCGTCCTGAGTGAGTTTCAGCAGTTGTACCAAATCTGCTGATACACCAACACCACCAAACTGGAGAGATGCCATTTACCTGCTCTTTGTGTGGGAAGTGATTCACTCATTTGCAACAAGTGGTGGTAGCATTTGGATGCTGTTGTTAATCACAACCGGGAGTGATGGCACAGAAAGTCTTAGTTCATTTCTGTTGATGTTAATAGCCATATAATTGGCTGGAATTTAATATTCTGGATATGTTGCTGAATTTTTGGACCTACAGCATTCTTTATTGATACCTCTATCTGTGATCTTTCACCTAATTCAAGAACTCTCAACAGGAATTCGTTTACAATAAAATTGTGAAAATTTACTTCCATCCTAAATGGATCTTTGGTGAAAAATCTACCATTCAGTGTCTAAAAGTTTCCACTGATGAACGTCACCTATTAGAAAGTGTTGATTGATTTGGGTTGACAATTCTTACTGACATAGACAGTTCGTCACAATGAGTACACAGTATCCATTATGAAACTAAACTGTCAAAGGACATGAAGCACAATAGTGAAATATTTTACAATAACACCAATACAAACTTCATAAAAGATTATTGATAGTGATTATGTTTTGAAGTTGCTGAGTTCAATTATTTGTACGAACAGCAACATTTGGTAAAGGCAGAACCCAAAGCAAAGATTAGTTTGAGACCAAACTAGAAAAGTTGTGCTCTTCCTTCTTATAGAAATTCTGGTTGTCTCGTTCATCACGTACATCTTAGTTGCTTTCCATTTCATTGCTGGTGTTCGACATGGCGTTTGCCAAAACTCATTTTCACAGCCGTGCTTCCTTTCTCAGCGACTGAGGGTTTCAGCTGAAGTTTCACCTTTCATGGGCATAAATGCTGTCCCCTCCACACTTAATGTCAGCTCTGATGAAGAGTCACCTAGACTCAAAACGTTAGCTTGCTGTCTCTCTGTGGATGCTGCCTGACCCGCTGTGATTTCCAGCATTTTTGTTTTCAGTCTAGTTTGAGACCAACCCAGCAGAGGTGGTACCGCTATTGAAGCAAAAAGGAAAGCCAGGGCGATACACAAGGTCAGCCCCAGGACACTGCATAGTGTGGAAGAACAGGAAACCTTTTCAAAAGAGTAATCAAAACTGCTTATGACAGTTGAAGTCTAACATATGAAGTAAGATGGGATCAGGATGATGTTAGAAACGTAGAAACTAGGAACAGGGAGTAGGCTATTCAGCCCTTCAAGCCTGCTGCATCATTCAATTTGATCATGGTTGATTATCCAACTCAGTACCCTGTTCCCGCTTTCTCCCTATACCCTTTGATCCCTTTAACCTTAAGAACTATATCTACTGACACCCATGCCACTTGAGTGAATGAAGAAAAGCTTGAAATCATTCAGTGTTTCAGCCTCAACCATTTTCTGTGGCAGCAATTCCACAGGCTCACCGCTCTCTGGGTAATGCTGCCTGGCCTGCTGTGTGCCTCTAGCTCCACACTGTGTTATCTCTTACTCCAGCATCAGTAGTTCTTACTATCTCAAAGAAATTTCTCCATCTGGTCCAGCCATCACCAAAGATGAAACGGCCACACAATGAAGTCCTCACAGATCTAAACAGATGTCCTGGCTGGGTTGAACGTGACTGAGAGTTATACTCCCATGAAACTAACATCTCCCACCTGTAGCTCACCTGTAGCTTTCTGTCATGGTTGAGTTGGGCAATGAACCCTAAAGGCTGCAAAGGCTATTAATTGTTTCACAAACAGAGAGGCTGCTCCAGCTTACCGGAACTCCTGCTGAACTGCTCAAACACAGAAAGTCCCATCTACCACCACGCTTTCATGAGCTCATCCTCCTCCTCTGTTGGGACGTCAGATCTGTCCAATGGGACATGTGTGATGGAAAAACATCTCAATTTGAACGAAGAAAGGCGACAGAGGGGTTTGTACTAACTGCAGGGATATGTCAGTCAGTATCATGGGGAAAGCCTTCACTAAGATCATGTTTAAAAGACGTCCTCTACTTTCAGAATGAGTGCATTCAAAAGCAAAGTACAGTTCCTGTGCTGGCCGATCGAAATTGGACACTCCAGTCACCAGTGCATCAGAAGTAGGGAGCAGGATATACGCCCTTACCTTATGTTTGTCGAGCTCACTAAAACACTCAGTGCTGTTCGTAGGGCCAAATTGAATAAGATTTTGGGGAAATTGTCTGTCCTTCAGAGCTCCTCGGTCTGATCCACTCCACGTGTCCTGTACTGGACTGTCTGACTGCATCATTTCCGACAATTTCAGGGTAAGGAATAGCGTGAAACAAACACCAATGCCAAAATCAGCAACCCACACCTCTTCCGGACAGCCAAGAATAACAATTTTTCTCCGGAAGATAAAACAGGGAGATGTAACGTTGAACAACAAGTGCATTTAAAGGCCCATACGGGGTTTTATTAAATAATTCCTTCCCAAACCACTTCCTTGTGTGACTCCTTCAAAGCCTCAGACTTTATGAGTTTCGGAGAGGTGTGAGAGTTGTTGAAGGTGGTGAAGTGGGAGACAGGTAGGTGATTATTAACAGATTATTAATGTACTTGGATGATTAACACAACCCGGATTGTTCATTTTATAAAATCGGGGTTATCAATGCAGTTGGCAAATAACTAATCAAACCTGATTGTTGGTAGAATACAGGCTAAATTATTGAAATAAATCTTTCTTTTATTTATGTGCATCTTGATTATTGATGTAATAATTTCATGATTAATAATGGACTGGGCAACTGGTTATTAATGTAACAGGGACTATATAATTAATTAGATCATGGTTATTAATGTCATAGAGCCGTTATTATTGTAATAGTATAACACTGAATATTTCTCAAGTAAGATCCTGTTTGTTAATACAATATGCACCAGACTGTTAACATTATAGTGTTCTGATTATCAATGTGTAATGTAATAGGACTGAGTGTAAATACAATGGCAAGCAGATATTAATGTAATCAGTCTGTGAGCATTGATGTAACAGGATCCTTGTTATTGATGCAAAAGAACTTTGATCATTAATATTCTATAATCATAATTGTAAATACATTTTGATGTTGATAATTGATGCAGGCAGATCCTGATTACTGACAAAATTGACTACAAAAACAAAAAAATGTCCAACTTTTCTCTGGCCTTTTGTTTTGCAGCAGCGATCAGGCATCAGAGAACAGTCCATTAGGCCACACCCATTAACCAAAAAAAAAGGAAATTTAAAGAGACCTCACAGCTGTCTGATAACAGTCCAGGCCCTCACAGCCACCACTTTCTGGGGTGAAAAGAAGGAGAGATTATTTTACTCAGTGAATTATGATGATGTTGAGGACATTAGAATCATACTGTACAGAAGCCACCCTTTGAGTCTGTACTGCTAAAAATACACTAAATCTACATGAATCCCACTTTCCAGCACTAGGCCCAACATTGTTGGCTGTCGGAAAAACCCATCTGGTTCACACATGTGTTTTAAGGGAGGGAACTGCGATCCTTACCTGATCTGGCTTATACGTGATTCCAGACCCACAGCAATGTGGTTGACTCTCAGCTGCCCTCGGGGCAAGTAGGGATGGACAATGGACACTGGCCTAGCCAGTGATGCCGTCATCCCATGAATGAAGGGAAAAAAGGCTGTGTGTGTGAGAGAGAGATGCTTCAGTTCAAACGGGTGTGACTGTATCTCAGGCCACATGATCGGTTGAAGGCATGTCCAAGGACATGTAGTAAAAAGAGGAGTGGGATTCACTGGATTGCTTTTTGAAAGAGCTAGTGCTGAATGGTCTCCATTTGTAATTTAAGATTTAGTTTAAGATTCAGTAATAGTTTAATTATTCATAATAGTTCCATACAAAAGAATCATCAGGCCATTCAGCTCATTGTGCCTGTACTGTGTCTGAAAATGTTACCAATCTGTCCTACTCCCCTGCTCCTTCCCCCTCACCCTTAAAACTTTTCCTTATTGAGGAAAAGCCCAAATCATTTTCACAAGTGGGTCTGCTTCCACCAGACATTCGGGCATATTAATTTTAAGATGAAAGGCAGGAGGTTTAGAGGGGATTTGAGGAAAGATTTTGTTTTCACTCAGAGGGTAGTTGGAATGCCCTGCCTGGAAAGATAGTTGACATAGGCAACCTCACAACGTTTAAAAGTTGTTTGGATGAGCACTTCAAAGTGTGTAAACCTTCAAGACTTATTGCTGGAAAGCAGGATTCGTGTAGATTTAGTGTATTTTTAGCAGTACAGACTCGATGGGCTAAAGGGCCTCTTCTGTACTGTATGATTCCAATGTCCTCAGGATGATCATAATTCACTGCATAAAATAATTTCTCCTTTTCACCCTGCTTTTTTTAAACAATTATTTTAAAGCTGTGTTCTGCATTCTGTAGTTAAAAGATCCAAGGGTATAAAGCCTGCACATTCTAACTTTTGATTTCTAACTTAAAGTGTGTAAGAAAGCTTTAGTTTAATTTTTAACATAAAACACTACAGCATTATATCTAATATTGACTTGTGTGAATTTAATCTCAGTCCTCACAATAAAATAATATATAGCAATCCAAATCCAGAGAAGCCACCCTTCTATATCAAGTTGTCAGGATTGATTCAACTGTTTCTGTCCAGTTATGCCCTGTAAATACATGAATATGCCAAAACGTGAAAGCTTAGACTTTCTCAGTCTTTTAATCATCTTTCTATTTCTAACTCAACACTCCTGGTCTGGAAGTTTCACAAACTATAACTTGACACCAATTTCCCAGAATTGTCCTACACTCTTTTCTTGGACAGAAACTATGTTTCCGATCCCAGTCAGGTCTCCTCCAAAACTGCTCCCAAAGCTTTCAATCTTTGGATTTTTTGAGGTGAAAATTAATCCTTGATTATTGTAAATCAAAAGCAATGCAATGTTTTCCAGCACTTGCATCCCTCTGTCATAAACTTTGCAGTTTCCACAATTACCCATTGAAACTCTGGGAATTTGCAGTCACCTGCCCTCTGAATTCGATCACTGTTCAGGAAGGACCTCCTGACCCTTTTGTTTTCCTCTTAAACCCCACGTAAAAGCAACAAGCACCAACATGCCAACAGTCCAAACTCCAAAATAGATCACTCACCTTCCTTGAATTTTACCAAGTCTTTGTCTTAAATGATGATTGTTTCATCCAAAGACTTCAATTAAAACAAATTGAAGTTTGCTGTCTTCAAATTATCCATTACAGCTTTGCCTCATTTATTGTCAGTACAACAAGATATATAAAGTGGTTACTGTCAACAAATCACCTCTTCTAAGATGGCTTCCTTTGGCTCTGTTTGCCTGCCAATTCAGTGGGTTTTAGTCTTAGATCAGTTTTAGACTGATTGACTTTTACTCAAAACCACATTGAAACTTACAAATTGTTCCTTTCTCAATAGCCACATACTATCCACAGAGGAGTCCAAATGATTTAAGGCTTATCTTAATGGTTCTGAAGAAGAATCACATCGAATTTGAAATGTAAACTCTGTTCCTCTCTCCACTGATACTGCTGGACCTGCTGAGTTTTTTTCGGCATTCTCTGCATTTAATGTAGAAACATAAGTTACTAATGTAATAAAGTCATAAAACACTCCATGGGGTATCAGAGGAATTTCATAAAACAAACTTTAACACTGAGTCATGCAGGACGATACGAGTGTAAATTCCAAAACCTTGATTGGAGAGGCAGATTTTGAACAACCATCTTGAATCAGGAGCAGACATTTAGGAAAGAAATTTTGAAGTTTTGCACACAGTCACAGTCATTATTAGAACAATTAAAATCAGGGATGGTACAGAGGCCAAAATGAGAGGAGCACAGAGGGTATTGCAACTGGGGGGGTTACAAAAAGAGAGGGACAAGGCAATGGACAGACTTGAAACAAGGTATCTGAATATTAAAATCAAAGCATTCTTTGGCCAAGAGCTAATATCGATCAGTGCATGCAGGAGTGATGGGTGAATTGGACTTAGTGTGAGAAAGCAGACAAGACAGCCGAGTTTCAGATGATGCCACATTTCTGGGTGGAGAGGGGTGATTGTGAGAGGCTGGTCAGGAATGTATTGGAGGTGACAAATCTAATGCTGACACAGGTATGGACAGAGTTTTAGCAGCAGATGAGGTGGCAACAGCAATGTTATGGAGATTGAAATATCTCGTATCGGTATGATGTGGAAATGTGATGATCAGCTCATTTTAACACTTGGAAAAACAAAGCTCAATTCACCAGTGTCAGCACAGTTTCATGAAGGGCAAGTCATGCTTTGACAAACTTGCTGGAGTACTTTGAGGGCGTCATCAGTAAGGTGGATAGAGTCAGAGTCAGGGAGTCACACAGCACAGAAATAGACCCTTCAGTCCAATTCTCCATGCCGACCAAGTTTGCCAAACTAAACTGGTCCCATTTGCCTGCATTTGGCCTTTTCCTGTTCATATACTTTTGCAAATATCTTTCAAATGTTGTAAACTGTACCTGCATCTACCACTTTCTCTGGCAGTTCATTCCACCCATGAACCATCCTCTACGTGAAAAAGTTGTCTTTTGTGTCATTATGTCAAAATACTACATATAAGTCTATCTCCAGTGGATGTTGTTATATCTAGAACTCCAGAAGGCATTTGACAAGGTACCAAATAAAAGACTGATCCAGAAGGTTAGATCCCAGGGGGTTAACAGTAGAGTAATGGCTTGGATAGAGGATTGGCTGACTGATAGAAAGCAGAGGGTCAGGATAAATGGTGAACTGTATCTAGGCGAGAATTGAAGGATTCAGTTCTTGGTCTGATATAGATTTACATAAATGATCTGCAAGCAGGGACAGAATGTAACTAGCAAAATTCACAGATTGTACTATAATAGTTAGGAAAGCAGGTTGTGATGAGGAGATAAAGAGTTTACAGATGAATATTGATAGGCTAGGAGAAAGGGCCAGAATCTGGCAGCTGGAGATTATCTATTTGACTGGAAAAATAAAAGGACAAGTTATTATTTGATGGGAAGCAGATTCAAAGTGCGTCAGTGCATATAATAAGAAAGACAAATTGAATTCTGGTATTTACTGCAAAAGGACTGGAGAATAAAAATAAAGAAGTGTTGTTACAATTATATAAGGCATTGGTGAGACCAATGTATTGTGTCCAGTTTTGGTCTCCTTAGTTGAGGAAAGATGTGGTGACACTGGAGGCAGTTCAGAGGAGGTTCACCAGATTGATTCCAGGGGTTAAAGGTCTGTCAGAAGATGAGC